TTAAACTGTGGCTCAAACTGAGAAAAGCTGGTTTTGTTTGGTTATTTGAATCCTGCTAGTTAGAAGACTGCAAATATGAAATAATAATAACCAACATAGACAGTAAATTGAACAGGATGACTTTGTTTGGACACTGGAGTTCCAGTAAACTGATAATACTCCACACCCTACCTCTGAACTTTGCAGTGGAATGCATTTTGGCAAGTGAGCTCGGCACCACCATCCTCTGGTGTCAGCATTTTTTCTTCCTTTCACTTGATAATGCTATTTCTTTCTGCCAGTTTATTAGGTAAATCTACCACCCCAATTTCAAAAAAAGTTGGGATGCTGTGCAAAATGTAAATAAAAACAAAATGGAATGACATGCTAATCATTTAAACCCTATATTTCATTGAAAATAGTACAAAAACCACATATCAAATGTTGAAACTGAGAAATTTTATTGTTTTTTGGAAAATGTATGCCCATTTTGAATTTGATGCCAACAACATGTTTAAAAAAAGTTGGGATAGTGGGGCAACAAAAGGCTAATGAAGTTGTGTAATGCTAAAAAAAAACACCTGGTGGTTAATTGGCAACAGGTTAGTAACATGATTGGGTATAAAAAGAGCATCCCAGAGAGGCTGAGTCATTCAGAAGTAAAGATGAGGAGGGGTTCACTACTCTGTGAAAGACTGCATTGGCAAATAGAGCAACAATTCAAGAATAATGTTTCTCAAAGTAAAATAGCAAAGATCTTTTGCTTTTCATCATCTACGGAACACAATATCATTAAAAGATTTAGAGAATCTGGAGAAATCTCTGTATGCAAGAGACAAGGCCAAAAACCAGTATTTGCTGGCCATGATCTTTGGGCTGTCAGGCGCCACTGCATTAAAAGCAGACATGATTCTGTAGGGGAAATTACTGCATGGATTCAAGAACACTTCTGAAAAACACTGTCTATGAAAACAGTTTGTCGCTGCATCCACAAATGCAAATTAAAACTCTAAAACGCAAAGAAGAAACCAGATTACCCCGCTACCTTCTCTGGGCCTAAGCTTACTTAAAATGGACTGAGGGGAAGTAGAGAGGTGTACTGTGGTCTGACAAATCAACATTTGAAATTCTTTTTTGGAATCATGGACACTGTGTCCTCCGGGCTAAAAACCACTCAGCTTGTTATCAGCGCACAGTTCAAAAGCCAGTATTCATGATGGTATAGGGGTGCATTAGTGCACATGGCATGGGTGACGTGCACATCTGTGAAGATACGAACAATATATACATGTGTTGGCAACATATGCTGCCATCCAGATGACGTCTTTTTCAGGGAAGGCCTTGTTTATTTCAGCAAGACGATGCCAAACCACATTCTGCATGTATTACAACAGCATAGCTCTGTATTAAAAAAAATCTGGGTGCTAAACTGGCCTGCCTGCAGTCTAGACCTGTCACCCACTAATAACATTTGGCGCATTCTGAAATAAAAAATATGACAAACGAGACCCCGAACTGATGAGCTGCTGAAATCTTGTATCAAACAAGAACGGGAAAACATTTCACTTTCAAAACTACAGCAATTGGTCTCCTCAGTTCCCAAATGCTTACAGAGTGTTGTTAAAAGAAGAAGTGATGAAAGACAGTGGTAAACACGCCCTCATCCCAACTTTTTTGGAACCAGTTGTTGGCATCAAATGCAAAATGGGCATATATTTTCAAATTTCAACATTTGATATGTTGTCTTTGTAGGATTTCCCTTTAAAAATATGGTTTACATGATTTGTATATCATTGCATGCTATTTTTATTTACATTCTGCATGGTGTCCCAACTTTTTTGGAAATGGGGTTGTAGTTAAATCTACCTTAAAGCCTACACTCACTGGTCATTTTACCATATGGGAGCACTTTGTAAGTTTACAGGTACTGCCTGTAACACATCTGTTGCAGCATAATTTGTCAACCACTGTTTCTCATTTTCACTATCATTCCATTAATTTGTAAAGTTTGGGTTTTCACACATTGTTGTAGTCGTTAATCTTTGTGGTTTTTGGTCAAAATATTCAGGGTTTTTTACTCTTTTGGTCAAACAAAAAAACAACGAAAGTACCATTTTTGGTTGCTGAAATTTTGATGGATCCCTACTTGAAACCATGCAGTACTGGGGCCTGGAACAGAAATATGAAATGCTGGGCTACAGAATGCCTAACATCATTTGTGCGTAGAAAAATATCTATGGTCTCTAACTGTACAGCTACAAGTTGTATAAACAAGGGTACTAAATTAAAGTGGTCACCAGGGGCAAAGCCCAGGGATGGCAAGGGGGGACTAGTGCATAATAAAGGAAGCATTACAGGGGAGCTAACTGGTTAACAATTACCACACCATACCATATATGTTACAGAGTATTACAATGAGCATTCATGTTGAATTAATTTATTATAATACTCTGACAATTATATATGAAGACCATAAACAGACCTCTGTTTGAGGTCACTCAAATAACCTTTCAAAGACCCTTATGATATTTCAAGACCACATTTGTTTTATGACATGAGAAATGGTGCTTCCACAAATGCAAAAGTGACTGTGGACTGTGAGGGAGGCAGAGCCTGGCAAAAGACCATGATGACAGGGATGGCGCTGTCAGGCTCCACAGGGAAGACAGCCTGGCAAGGCTTGACAGTGAGGTCAGCAAGGGAAGGCCCAATGACAGGGCCAGCGTGGGAAGGCTTGAAGCCAGAGGCTGCACAGCAAAGCATGACGGCAGTGCCACATGATATTTCAAGACCACATTTGTTTTAAATTAAGGTGTGAACAGTAAGTGAAATTCAGCTTGATAGCTAACTTATGAAGACAAATTAGGGTAATAACTATGTGGCACTTGTGAGCCATTATAGTTTGCTACAAACCAGTGCTGGTTCTCACCTCCCTGGGGCCCTAAGCAAAATTCTACAAAGGGGCCCCCTTACCTGACCTTTAAGCCATGTAAATCATTTGCAGTTGCCGTACAGTCACACCTGTCACCCCAGTGCTCCCACCACAATCCTCCCTATTTTAAAACAGTTCATCTGTCGGTCTAATAGTAAGTAGACCTATGCCAGGGGTGTCCAATCTTATCTGCGAAGGGCCAGTGTGGCTGCAGGTTTTCATTCCAACAAAGCCGGAGCACACACAATCAGTCATTTGAAGACTGACCAATTGATTAAACAAGTGGAATGAAGACTGCTCATGTTGTTTGGAATGAAAACCTGCAGCCACACTGGCCCTTTGTGGATAAGATTGGACACATTTGACCTATACGCAGAATGAGGTATAAACAAACAATATTTATAAATTAATCAATATTTACTCCTCTTCTGACAAACTTAACCATAGCACCTGAAAAATTATAGATAATACTATGATAATACTTATCAGCTATATCAGGCCCATTCAAACTCCCCTAGATTTCCTTTTACACATTTTCAAATATACTGAACTGAATTGAAAGCTAATATGGCATATTAATTGTTAGCCTGTTATCTCTCCCATAATTTTTTTGTCTGGTTCAGGAAAGGTAAGGGGACAAAAACAACCACCCCCTACTGGTGAAAAGCTGATTGTTAGAGAATATATTTTTTTCATACAGTAGTGGAAAAAAAAATATGAGGGAGACAAAAATATGTGGTGGATGAAATTGTACAAGTAATGACTTAAATGTTGTTTGTGTTGTTGTTTGTCAGTTAAAGATATGTGTATGTGTTTCTTGAGTTTTTTTGTGTCGGGGTGCAGGGTTAGTTAGTGTTTTTTGTGTTGGAAGGGTGGCATACCATCAGAGTGAAGTGTATGGTTAGTGGTGACCTCCTCTGTGAGTTCAGTGCTTCATATGTGCTTTTCTTCGCTAGTGTCTAATAAAGAGCACTTCTCATGACGGACTCATGGCCGGCCTTGTGCCTTATTCTACTCCAATGCTATACTGTTTGATTGCACAGTCGGTTATCGAAAGGGGCAATGCAATGTTGTGCAAGATTCATTCACTCATAGTCTGGCTGACAGAACCAACAAGGTCGTTCCTGCATGATGAAAAGCAGAATACCCTTGCAGAACGTCAAGCCACTTCAGAAAGTCACTTGGGAAGAGATTGGAAGATGTCAAAAGACAGATATCTCTCTGCAATACAGTCAAATCTTCATCTGCATATTCCAATTGTATCAGTTACTTCATACAAAATGACTATTTCTTCAGCAGCATTCCTAACAGTCAAGTGGGGCAAACATTGCAGCTATTCAGACCAACAGACCTCAAAACCCAGATTCTTCAGTTTGCCCATGACAGTCCTCTGAGTGGTCACTGGGGCTGGATGAAGAAAATTTTTAGGCTATTAGATGTTGCATATTGGCCAGCAATCTGTAAGGATGTCTGAAATTACTGTAAGCACGTAACTTGCCAACAGTATAAGCCAAGGATAACCAAATTGTCAGAACACTTGCAATCCACAATCCACAGAAATAGCCCTTGGGCACAAGCTTAAAGGTCCTTTAGAATGACTCTCAGGACACATGGCTTACCATGTGGTAGAACAGCAAGAACAGCTGATAGAAAGAATAAGAGCCGGGAAAAGATATTACAACCGTCGGCATAAGCCAGAAGCGTTCCAGTTAGGGGATTTTGTATGGGTCCATATTCATTCGTTGTCTCGAGCAGAGGACGCGTTCACGGCCAAGCTAGCCCCCAATTTGTGCGGTCCAGCCAAAGTGCTAAAACAAATCAGGGTTGAAGTCTTAGATTCCCCGGGTCAAGTTTGATGCATACCATGCACAAAATATGAAACAGTATCTTGAAGGTGGGGAGGTGTGACAGATGTAATCCACTGTAATTGGTGCTACATCTTTTCTCACTGCTAGGCGTCAGTAGAGGCTTCATTGTACCAATTCAAAGAAAAGCCGGAGAAGAAGAGAGTTACTGAGAGTCACCAAAAACAGATGGTTTGTAATGTTGTGCAACAGCAAACTATGGAATCTGTTCTGGTTTTCACCTTGTTAGGGGGTGATTCGGCTCTTATGCCCAGTGTAAGTTTCCTCAGTTTTTATGTTTTATTTGATAGTTGTAGCAGTTTAGTAGCCACTTACATAGCAATGCTGGAAGCTTTATTGATGTTTGTATTTGTGTTTTATATACAGAGGGTTTTGCTCTGCTTTGACGTTTCTGCTTCATGTTTGCAACCATGCTACCACTGAAAGTTTTACCAGCAAAGTATGCGCTTGAAGAAGCCGATTAGGAGTAAGAGTTTGCACAGAAGCTGTTGCTGATTGGATTACCTCTCTAAGGACTTCAAAATAACCATCAAGTGGTGCCCAAAGAGGCATAACAGCTACCCGGTGAGCTCCATCCGTGTACATAGTTATTCCTGCTAAATGTTGAGACACTGTAGAGGACTGTAATGGAAAATATATAGAAAGGATAAAGGGAATAAACGAATTTAATAGTGCTGTATATTAGGGGCTTTGTAAATAAACCTAGGGTGTTTTCTATAGGTGTGCTGGATGGTGAATCCCCCTTTTATTTTGATTTGTTAACCTTACAAAGTGAAATCTAGTAAGCGTTACAACAGGCCACCCCAATAAAATCTCTGGGTTTAACTGTAAGTTCTAGTTATGCCTCGGGCGTACCCATTGTAACAGGCGTGCAACTTGAAAACAGAATATAGGAGTGCAAAACAATTTAGAAAGAAATTTTCGAAATGATAAACTGTACACATAAAGCCGAAGGGACACCCACTTTAAAAGACCAGTATCCCTGTGGCCTTAGGCAAATAGTGATTTTTTTGTTTTGTTTTTCTTATTCAATGTGTTAAAAAATGCTGCAATGACTCTGAAGGGCATCATTTAAGTTTTAAGGGCTTATTTCCTGGAACATGACATTGACTGCTACAAAATCTGTCCAAATGTTTTGTGGCTTGGCTTGTTTTAAGGTCCCACTAGCCTTAGCTTCATGGTGATTTTATGATCCGTACTTAGTGCATGAAACTGGCATCATACCTCCCTATTGCAGGCAAAAGACTACTTCAAGTCAATTACAGAAAAGCACATATGAGCTAACTCATAGAAACAACCGAGCATGTCCCACAACCCTATTTCATTACAACTGGTTCCAATGTGAGATTGACTTGTTTCCAAACGCCCCATGGTGCTTGGAATTGAGGCTAGGGTCCAATGAACTTGACGACACTTACAAAAATTATCTATCCGACTCAGTTAAACAGCTCATTATATGTCAAAATAGAACAACTGATGTACACTTATACTAAAATATGGAGAAAAGCTTTTAAAAATGTATAGCTCAAGGCCATGTCTGGCATGGTTCATAATTGTTTGGGGTTTGCATGCTTGGCATCATAATGTGGAATAACTGGTCAGTCTCTAGGATTCTTATTGCTGTTTATGCTACATATGCTGTGTCTTTTTTTGTGTGGCTAGATTTAAAAGTTGGATAGATAAATTGTCAGTGAGTTATATTCATTTTTGTTAGAGTTTTTAAATTTTGTTGTATAAAAAAAAATCTTCACTGGTAATGTCCTCTTATCATGTGGATCATTCACTGCCCTAACGGAGACACTGACAGGCTAAACATTAAACACATTTCATATTTGCAGCAGTATCGACTGTGATATAAATAGGCTGTATATGTTCACATTTGCCTCCCATGCATATGTTTGTTACGAGACTTTGGTTTCGGGGGCTGGATTACATCCAGGCAGTAGATTCATCTGATTTTATCCCACAAAAATACCCTCATTGCCTCCAACAGAGTTTCTTGGCAGTCAGCCCCAAACCATCCATTATTCTACACTACATGCTTTTGACTGCACTACGGTATTACACAATATGTTTAAAAAAACTGCTTGTATTCTTTTAAGTCTGCCATCTGTGCTTAGCAGTGTCTCAGACATTCTGTTTGTAATTTAGACTGACATAACGTGGTTGCTCTAAGTAGCAGGATACCATTAGAAAATGAAAGCTCCCAGTGCCCGTTAATCACTATTTAATACATTATTTCAAAACATCCTTTCTTTTTTTTTTAGGAAGGTATGGTAACTTGCAGGACAAAACCCTCCTCTTTTATTAAAGCAAACTGGTAAGGTCAGCTGATTTTTTTTCACTATGGATAATAGTGACTTATGCATTTATGTTAAAGAACCCTGCATTTAAAATGTGTTTTTTAAATGGTTAACTCCTCTTAGACGGTTTATTATGGTGAAACAGACTGATATTTGTCAAATGTGTTACCATAGTGCAGAGTTCACAATTTAGCATTGAATACAGTCAAAACACAGACTTGTTGATATATCCGAAAAAAGCAATTTGGCACAACATGGCACATTTGTTTTGTATGTAATGAATGAGCCTGAACCTATTACGGTCCAATATACTAAAATATGCTAATAAGAGGATGTGCCAGGTGCCGACGAGAGCTGCGAGAGGCAGCATGAAGCTAGTGCCCAAGTGCCAAGTAGGGCAGCACCAACATCTAAGCTAAGAGGGAGAGAAAGAAAGAAGTTGCTTGACCCCTTGTTGTCTCATGTCCGATGGCAACAGTCCAAGAGGCTTTGAAAATAAGTCGATTGCAGGGCTAATGCCACTCATCTGCCCCCGGGACTCAGGCGATGGCCTCAGGCCAGTGTTTGGCATTGTTCTAGTAGCAGAAGCCTGCTAGTGCAGTAGCTTAGCATGTAGTTTCACCACAGTACAGGTTCATTTCAGCTCACTGAAGTCTCATTAATGCAAGTTTTGAATATAAAGACTCAAATCTGCACAAGTAAATGTATTTTTTTGTGGAGCTGTTAGCTTAAGCTTCATTTGCTCCACATTTGCTAGGAGCTAGCGGTAGCTTAGCAAGAAGACCTAAGCAGGTTAAGTGATTTTGGGTCTTTTGGCAAAAGGAATTGATACTTAAATTGACATTCTGTTTTCCTGAGTTTTGCAACTGTCTACACTGCAAATAATTATATTTTGGACAGTCAAATCAAATCAATGAATCTAGTTTCTCATTTTTTACATTCTTGTAAGAATATTAAGATTACTGAACTTATTTCTATACCTTTTTTACTTAAGTAATTATAATAAGTGAAATTATCTCACTACATTTGCAGATAATTTGTTTTTTCTTTAATTTATTTTGTTTGTATTTTAAAAGCTACGCTTGAAACATGTACAGTTATCTGCAAATGTAGTGAAATAACTGGAACTAAGTAAGGTAGAAGTAATGAGATTACCTTATTTAGGATGTCATAAGCAGAGTTGGGTGGGTTACTTTAAAAATGTATTCCATTACAAACTGATAACCTGATAAAAATGTAATTGTAACCTAATTCACCAATGCACTGCGAGTACAAAAAAGCATTATTTCACACAAAAATCTAATAGGGAGCTGATCATCTTGGTTACAAATACTGAAAATTTACACTTTTGATAATTTGACAGTAATTACACATTGTTCATTGAAATACTACTAAAGAAATAAACACCTGATAAATAATACACATGAAAACGAAACTAACTTTGCCACACACTTGGCTCTTTTTTCACATTTCACACTGTTAATAAAAACCTGTCAGGTTAGGGTATCAAAAGTTTTATTTGTATCCAGTCAAACTGTAGATTTCTATGTAGCAACAAAAGAGAATAAATAGTTTATTGCCAGATCAGTCTGAGGTCATAGAATCTGGCGATGTGGAAAATTAGGTAAAATGCCTGATTAAAGTATCTTCAGGAAAATGCTGCAGATTTCAGTTATGACAATAAAATTAACATACTAAAATTTCTATATATTGGCTGAATAAAAAAAATCTTGAACTGCTGCTGGGTAGGGGATTCTTCAGAATTCTCTCTTGGCAGCAGCCCCTCCCCCTTTTCCCCCAAATTAAAAACTCTTGAAATCATGTGACATATTTATTATTAAAATAGTGAATTGCGGGGAAAGAAGTTTGTATTTGAATGTAATCCCGCTGGTAATCACTCTGATTTTATAATGTACCTGTAATCTAATTACAGTCTTTTTTGTCTAACTGTAATGGAATATGGAGTTGTTTTGTATTCTGATTACGTAATGCTGTTACATGTATTTCGTTACTGCCCAGCCCTGGTCATTAGTAACTTAATCCCATTACGTACGTTTTGAGAAAAGTAATTTGTAATTTGGATGGCTTTTTTGAGTTGCCCCAACACTGGAGCTTACATAACACTAGCTACATTAATGGTAATGTTATGTAAGGTCTCTTGAACCTGTTCAGCACTAACTGAAAAAAGCTAAACTAGCTTTAGGAGTGTAGTCACAAACATTTTGCTTTCCTCCATCTTCTTGCTTTTCTCTGCTGAACTTGGATAACCTTATTTGATTTACCCTCTAAATACCAAGAAAATCACACCAAAGAACCTCCTCTTCATGGCGTAGATGTCTTAATTGCCTTGTTTATAGCAGTCTGTATTCATGTAATTGTGTCATGGAACATGTAATGATCAGGAGTGGGGCTGCATTGCAATTACTAAAATTATCGCCACACTCGCAAATATGTTTTTAAATGTATACATATTTTGGTACAGGTTATTTAATGTCAACACGTACAGTATATATAATTTGTATATTTGTGGGGACCTTGGTTAATAAAATGGCTGCCTATCTTTGCCTAGAGCAAAGACCACCCCTGGGTCTAAGCTTTACACACAACCACACACATTCATTACACTCGGTGAAGCCTCACTGCCACAAGTTTACAGAATAAAGACTCAAATCAGAGCAGGTGAACCTGTGTTTCCATGTGTGAAGCTGTTGGCTTAAGCTACTTTTATTTCCTTGCTAGCACCAGAGGCTTACAAGGCTTTAGCTTTACAGTAAATGGGCACTGTTCTTAAGAGGGCTTCTTTCCTCATTTTTCCAGCACCTGAATTGGATAATTGCATTTGGATTTATATGGAGCTGAATGAGGCTCAAAGCTCTAAAAAGGGCTACTCTTTATCAATGCTAAATTTGGAGTAGATAAAGTTCTCATATAGTTACAAAACAAATTAATGTTCATTAGTAATCTAATGAAACTCCAGTAAAGAGTTAGGAATAAGTGTACTAGCATCATTCATGCTGAATACCATAGGGTCAGCCAATGAGTACTTATGATAGAAGCAGATATTTTTGGTTTCAGAAAAGGTCAGAGATGTTCCACTCCAAATGGTCATACTTGGACTCAGGAGCACAGCATATGGATCGAGATATAATTTACTGTCCCCTCCACAATTATTGGCACCCCTGGTAAAGATGAGTAAAAAGGCTTGTAAAAAAATCACCCTTTGGTGAATTTGCTTAATATCACACTGAAAAAAATTAAAAA